GCACTCTTGAAAATTGTCAACGATCTACTTAATACCATTGATAGTGGCAAATTAAGCAAACTGGTTTTATTAGACTTGACACTGTCGATCACAACATTTTGCTTTATCGACTTGTACATACATTTGATATATCTGGGCCAGTTTTGAATTGACAGTCAAACCGAGGCCATGTTAATTATGTCACCAAGTCTGGCATCGAAATCATCATTTCCATTCTAAATTACTGTTGGTAGTTCACATATACATTTTGTAACTTCAGTCAAAAATCCTGGTCTTACTCTAGACAGCAGTCTCAACATGTCGGAAATGTGTGTAAGGCGGAATACATTCAGCTAAGACAGATAAGTTCGATTCGCCATTATTCGACCCCTGATGCTACCAAGACTCTAATCTGTGCATTTGTACTTTCTCGTCTAGATTTTTGTAATAGTCTACTGGTCGGCTGTCCTCTCACTATCACAAACAAACTGCAACGTGTTCAAAACGCAGCTGCCCGGTTAATTTGTAAATCAAAGAAATCGGACCATGTCAGTCCACTTCTAAAATCACTGCACTGGTTACCAGTTACATCTCGTATGCATTATAAAGTCGGAACTATTTGTTACAATTCCATAGCTGCCACCGGTCCATCATACATATCACAACTACTTCAACTATATACTCCTGTCAGACAACTTCGTTCATCCTCAGACACCCGTATTTTCTTGAAACCGTGCGTTCAACCAAAACATATGGTGAACGCATATTTGCTCATATTGGCCCCGCTACCTGGAACAATCTAACATATGATGTCCGCCACTCAAGTTCTCATGACTCTTTTTGTAATAGGTTGAAGACTCACCTATTTGATTATTATTAAAAACCTTAAAACCATGGAAATCACCCAAAAATTGCTTCTCATATTCCGCCTATGTTTTAGACAAGGAAATAATATCATAAGATAAAATAAAATTCATAAAGTCAGACGATTCGAGTTTAGACTTGATACCTCTAACATTCCACGATATAAAACGCATATTATGTTTTGGTGAGCTTTGGCCAGCATCCTGGCTTGAATCAATGTTACCATCAGTATTTACTGGTTATTTTGAAGACATGTTCTTGGCCCTGTTCTATGTAGCGCTGGTTTTCGTTTTCGTTCTGTTTTCCTTGTATTGTTACCTGCAGGGTCGTCATTTTTCTACAATGATGGCAAGTTTCCCGTATTTGTATTATTCCTTTTTCCCTTGACTTTTAAGCTTGGATAATTGCTCTTGTTGATGGCGAGTCAAATCGTTACCAATTCCAATTTCTTCCTCTTTCAATACAGGTCGGGTAGCAAGTAATATAATCTTGTCTTCAAAATGATTGAATTTAATAATTATTGGTCGCTTGCATCCTGGTTCAGGTCTATTTGGTACGCGATGGGGACCTTACGATGTCGCGCTTAACCCACATCTTCCCTTTCACATACACGTTTAGTATATCAACTACCTTTTCTAAACAGTTCTCTGGCGACTCTCCCTCCTCTTCCGCGATAACATATAGTCGGACATTGTCTCGTCTTGAGAAAGATTCCTGCCTGTCAGCATCCTCATCCAATATATCCAGGCGTTCAGTAATTTCATCTAATTTTTCATTAATGGCAGACATGTCTAGGTCATTTATATTACATGCTTCGTGAAATCTGTTAACATCATTTTCTAATTTTTTTACCGTTTTCTTCAAAACTGAAACTTTGCCATCTAGATGAGAGTACCTTTTTGTAATCGATCTTGATTTTGTTTCATTTCTTTTAGTTCTTGTCTGATTTCACGGCCATTTCGGTGTATTTCCTTAAGAAGATCGCTTTTAATTTCTTGCATAGCCTTTATAATTTTTTGTTCGGGTCCCGGGTTTGTGTCGATATCACCCGCACACAAGAGCAGACCAGTAATACATGGATGTTGAGTTTTTTGAAAATGTTCACCTTGGCAATTTGCCTTTGCAGTATTTAAAGTCAAGGTCTTTCTTAATGGGTTGACTGGTTTTGTTACGTAATGGGAGACAGGTGTAAACGGTAATATGTATAAAGTCACATTCAAACCTATCAATAGAATATGTGGCCGAGATTTCATCTCCGTCATATCATCACAAGTAAATTATTGTTGCTATATAAAGTATGTGTAAACGAAAATATGACAACACACCAGTTACATGGATTGAACAGCATTGACCTGTTTAATTCTGCATTTTCATTTCATGATTCCGAGGGGAAAACTCAGGTCTTGTAAATGCATGAATTTGAGTTAAATCAAGTATCGTACCAACCCGCGCATAAGTGAATGAATGGAGGACGCTGCAAATGACTATACAATATACAGCTGCAGATGTTGGCTATGTCAATTACATTTACTACACGTTTTTATAAACAAGTAACAATACCACCATACCTTCAATTTTATTTAAGATAATTTCTGTTTACCGTCAATCTCAGTAAATCTAAAAGGCAATAGGACCAAATTGTTTCTTAAACGAACATGCATCATGTCAACATGCTCCTGATAGTATATTCAAATCGTTGATCTGAGATAACTGATGAAGTATTTGATTTTAATATAGTCGTGACACCATAACACATAAAACTATTCTCTGAATAATGTAATGTTATGACCCCATTATGGCATATATACCATAATATTGACTCAGGGGTCCCCGGTTCGAGTCTCAGACTATAGTTGTTTTCACTCATTATGTTGTTATGCTGGAATAACATTGGTTGCATTATTCCATAAACACTTTAAAGACACACATGTCCGCGTAAAACATTCAGTATTTTATTTTGAAAAAGTGTATTTTTATGTGTATAAGATGTGCTTAATTTCATCAATAAGTGTTTTAATTACTCAGACAAACTCTTTTCCAAAAATACTAAAACACTAATGTTTTAATAGAAAATACAGATGGTTTATAATACAATACACATGTTTTCAGTGTTCTGTCAATTAAAACAGTTTGATTTACATTGCATAATCCTTAGAAAAGACTCACAGAAAAAGTTATCATTCGGGTTTTTGTGGAGTTTAAGAAAAAGGTGTTGATGTTGAAGGATATACTATTTAGATTACGGAATTCAAACCTAATGTTGTGAGTGCAATTGGCGCCATTCCTAAACTATGACAATGTACGGCGTATCCACGACTGTAGCCGGTCTACTGGCGATTCTATTATCTTGTCTTCTTTTTTTCACTCGAAAATGTGGATTTACATATATAAACTCACACTTTTTCGTGGTGAAGTGTCTGTCACGTATTTGCCATCGATAGACATGTCAGATGTTAGGGGAGCATTTTGGGTGTTAACAAAGCAAACATTGTTTGCCTGTTACTCTACGATGGGACAATGTCACATAGACACGTTACCATAAATTATTAGTCCCTTTATTCTCGTAATATTTTGGTTCTAGTAAGGGGAAATTTGTGTTGCCAAACAAGTCTTGATTTGTTCCGCGTCCCTTCCTAGCAACAGTGTTTAATTGGAAGTTGCGTAAACACGTCTCAGTGTCAAATCATCGGATTTGAAGGTGAAGACGCGTTTTTCTGGATCCCAAGCGATTGTCATTGCGCTCATTGTGAACTGGAAAAGTAATGCTTATTTGAAGTATTTAGTTCTGTGCTATAGTTTGTAACATTAGTATTAGCATGGAGGTAAACTATTAGTTAATAAAGTTACCATATTATGTTGTCATTGTCATGATGCTGGCTTATTCTGTGCTTGCCTGTGGATGTGGGTGATTTAAGAATATGCTCCTTTGACTGACTTATTTGCAATATCAGGTGGAACGGAGGTGTAGTCTTGGCTGTAACTCAGATTTTGTGCGCCATTTTGTTCAGGCTCTGGTTTCTGCAATACTTCCTCGTTATTTATTAATTCTCCATTATTATTTTAGTGGAATCAATTTAATTTTTTGTAAAATAGCCAGTAGTCGTTGCTTTTTGTCTTTGCAAGTAAGTTGTATTATGTGTATGCAAGCATGCCCGGTATTGTAGTTCCGGGGTTTCTAGGGGAAGGGTGGGATAGTAGCTGGTACAGGTTACAGGAAATAACAAAGACATTTTACGTTTTTACAGGAATGAAAATGAAAGTTCCATTTACAATAACAAAAATAGGTTTTTACACTTTATAGATAAAGCAAATTCCTAATTACATTTTAATAATAGTTTTGATAATTTGTGTTTAAGAATCAAAATTGGAAATTACGACATTTAATTTGGAAAATGCTTTATACGCTTAAAAAATAATATCTTTGTACAAATTAAGGACGAATAAAATAGCTAATTACATTTTACATCTTGCCCATGTCTACGAATTTACGTGTTTTATTTGTTTAAATTACATTATTACGAAAATAAAAACAATCCTCGGGGCGGAGCTACGTCACATACGTTCTACGTTGCTAAGACGCGCATCACTGTACCACGTATTTCTATGGGATTTGTGCGCGCTGCTGTGGAACGCCGGTGGAGCCGGTGAAAATTCGAGAAAACAACACAAACTCAACTTTGAAGTAATCCTGAACAACCAAATTCATATATGTTACACACGTAGGGCTAATCTTGTTACACTGTTCAGGTGACTCTCAACAACCATTGCAAAGTATCGTTTTCTGCGAGTTGTTGGTCTTTTGGTCTTTTAGTTTTCACCGCGAGGGTTGCCAGGCGGTAGAAAATGCCCGGATGTCCGCCCCCCGAGGATTGATTACAGCTTACAAAAATACCTCTTGCCGACCCTCTTTCTAGTGTACAGTACATATATTAATAATGTTACCCCAGCCTGGAATCCAATCACTTCTAGTACATTCAGATACTTTGGCTTGTTCTGTGTGATTTAAACTAAGTTATTATTCATAATGTTTGTTAGGCATCATGCTATTTTATTTATAAAAATGCATTTGAGGCGTGAAATCTGTAATCGTTCGTTTGATTGATTTAATTAAATAGCGCCCTCGTACGATCGTCGGTATTTACTTTGGTAGTGCCAAGATGGCGGTGGTAAGGTCAATGTGGTTGGTGATCGCTGTTGAGGTTGTAATACTTTCAATTTGGGTTCCCAGTTCCCAGAGCTCCACTACGCTACCGCATGTATTGTGTGGGATAGAAGGATATGATACAAACAACCTAACCTCGTAAGTTTTTTTATTCACGTTATTTATCAAGACTAGAATAAAAGGCTTCGTGACTAACACTCACGTGATTTGTGTTGAAATTTATAGACCCGGAAGTAACGACATTTACGTGGGACAATATTTTCATTTTCAGTCCAGCTGACTATTTGAGATCTGTATTTTGTACCAATGTATTCCCGAACGCATGGCGTTTTACATTCTGTTGCCGGCTAGTTAGCGGCTGAGCATTCATGAGTTGGCTCCCCGTCGGACCACGTATGTAATGAAATACCAACTCAGCTTGATTAAAATCGTGCAAAAATGTTAAAATATTATCAGATTCTCGAGAACAACTTTCCCACCTATACGGCTTGCTTATAAGAAGCATGTTTATAATGATAGATGAGCCAGGATGTGTGATTGGTCGATTTGATACGCGCACACTGATGATTTCTGTAATGTAGAGGTGAAGAGACAGTCAGTATATTGGGGTTTGGTATTTCTGGATCCCTATGTTGTCACGGCATCAATATGTCAATATCACAATTTTGCATAATTTTTGTGTTAAAATTGTCAGTTTTTAAGTTGGGGTGCACAGCCAAAAATAATCGCTCTTTTATTTTATTTTTTTGAAAACACAAAATGCCACAAAATTTACGGCAGAATTCGGTATAAACTTCAGTACTGTGGATCACATTGCTATCATATTGTGCATCTCAAATAGCAGACCAATATTTGTGCCAAGCTTGAAAGGCTAATCTTAAATTTTGAATTAATTTCAGTACACAAGAGTTCTTTCTAAACTTTCTTTGATTTTTTTTTATCTAGCACTACATGTGAAAGTGAAAAATTTGAATGAAACATATGCCAATCTAACAGTGAATATGCATTAAATATATTGCATCATCCACCTTAGTCACCTGCATGTCAGAAGAGGTTCCTAACTTCCTCTTTCACTTGTCACATGTTTGTTGCATTTTAGAAATCCCCAGCTTTCTGTTTAAATTTGTTTATATTCGTCTCATTTGAAATTGTGTTACTTTCTGTTTTCACTTTTCACATATCCTGTACATTTTAAAATTACTTTGAAATTCTTTTTCCATTCATTCCACTTAACCCTTAGAAAATTTGTGTCCATCTGGTAAAAAGAATTATGGAAAAATACATACAAATGTGCACAATGTACCAACCAACATTTTTTGGAGGGGAGGGGGGTTCAATTATGGCACTAAGAGGGTTTAATTCGTATGTGGTTTATCTTAATTTGACATTTTCATTGACAAATTAGTTCAAACTTCCCACTTTCTTGATCAGCTGATTTTTAGCTCCGCTGTCGACTTTGTTGAGTGGAGCTTATCATATGAGTGATTGTCAGTCATCATCCATAGGCGTCCACATTAACTTTTACTTTTTTGACTTCTTCTTCATAACTACATTCTGATTGCTTTGATGTTTGACGTAGACCTCGCTTAGATTTTTGGCATTTGTGGTAAAAAGTGATATTTTCGACTACTGTAAAATCTGTATTTGAAGCCGCCGCTACTATTAGAATGGTACAAAGCAACAATGAAGATGCAGCTTCTATTAGAGCATCTACACATATGAGAAATGGTGAATTTTTTGGTTCTTAATTGTTCAAAAAGAATGGGTGCGACTTCTATTAGGGATGCGACTTCTAATACAGATTTTACCTTACTTGTTTATAGTATCACATGACAACCACAGTATGTAATTAATATGATATTAAAACCACAAGATTGTTAGAATTAATTAATTAATTGGCTCCTGGCTGGGTTGTGAGGCATGTCTTCTAATGTACATATGAATTAGAAAATCTGCATATTTTCATATTTTCACAATCATGAAATTTCAGTTGTTAAGAATTCATATAATTTGCATAGCATAATATGTTTGCCTACCATCACAACTTATCTCCCGATTTTCCTGACATTTACCTTTCTGGTTTTCTCGAGAAAAAAAAAAGTATTTTATACTGGGTAAAAATAAAATCTAAAGGTTGATGACCTTATGGGTATAAAGACAAGCTGCGGTTCATGCTAGTTGCATTCCCACTTTGCATAATCTGAGAAAACACCTCAATAACCACTATAAAACAGTATTATAATGGCTTTGGGTTTTGTACAATTCACGAGAAATCTTATCCAACAGAATTCTGAAATTATATAAACTTGGATTGATGGATTTTCATTTAACTTGAATCTTTTGAATCTTAGCACATACATTATTCTTTATGAACTGGGTACGGCTTTTACGGCCCAAGATCGTGTGGCGGAAGCGCTTGAGTTTGTGAGTTTGTGAGGGCGTGTAAGCCATAGGGCAGTAGGCAACAAAAGCCATATACTGTCCATCAATGTTTTATCATATACCTAATAGATGTAATTACAAGTTTACCATGGTGTGATCTCAAACGCACGACGTAATTTAGAATGACATGTTTTGTTTTGAAAGCCGGGCACGCTAGGCCAGGCATGATACAGGAAATTATTGCCCTGATGTGAGGCCGCATTTCCCATAGTGTTACAAGGCCTTGCAATACAAGGTATATGATAATGTTAGTGTCTTTTACATACCAAATAACTGTGTCTATACAAGCTAGTTTCATTGGTAATGCACTTCAAGATGGCAGATCTATAATACAGTGTATCTAGCCAATAATTTTATAATCAGAATATCATAAATTTTTATTGTGTTTCACATCACTCCAACAGGTATACTGATACTCATATTGTCAAAATTCGCCAAAAAATGAGTTATATTTTGTTTTTGAGAAGGTCAAAGGGCTATATTGACCAGATGACGAATATCTTATGGTTACCTTATGTTTTATTTGCGTTCTCAGTTTATTTATACACTTTCTACTTTTGTGTACAGGGACTGTGGTTGTATGACATGAGTTCCTGAATGTGCAATATCAAGTATATTTGTATTCAGACTTGGTAAATAATGTAAACTCATACATCATCCACAGGGTTAATTTAAATTTCCTTAAATATGTAAAAAAAAATCCCTAGAAAATGCATGAAAATAAATATCAATTTAATGCTTTTGCAGTAAAATATTTCAATAACATTATTTTGATTTACAGAGCGTTATATTGGACTTTCAGTCTACCTGGTCAATGTTACCACAAGGATAATTCTACATCCACATCTTGCAACTACTATTTGGCATTTTGTCAGGAGCTTGATTCAACAGGTCAGCCATTTAATGAAACCTGTGATGAAGCCGGAGCCTGTCTTCAAGATAGTAAAGAAGGCTCACATAACATTGGAAATTATGATGTACATAGCAATCCATTTAGTGCCATGGGTAAGTCAGAAATTTGTTCATATCTATAGGTTAGTTAGAAACTGTTTTGTGCTTTTCAAGGTAAGCCCCAATCTGATTAAAATCTGATGTAGTGTACGGGCCTTAATTATTTTGGCTATAAACTTATTTTAATTTTATTTTTTATTACTTTTGTTATTAATGCCTTTTTATTTTATTATTTTACTTTTATTTTGTGATTTTTTTTAATTCCGCCCTCCATACATCTGATCCGACGCCTATGTAAGTTCCGTTCAAATCTCGCGTAAGTAACAGCCAATTACAGCCCCCCTTTTATACAGGCTGTCGGTTGCTTACTTTTCAGTGTAGCGATACTCTACACTGTGCATTATATTTTGCCCACTTGAATAAACCATTAATAGAAAATTGCTAGTATATTTTTATTTACAAAAGAAATTCCACAGCATTTTACAATTTTTGTCATTACATTGAATATTTTTTTTACTTCCAACAAACCTGTACACTTCCTGATGCACCTTCACCAGCCAAGGTTCGTTTATTCAGTCATCGCTTCAATTTTACATCAAACACTGAGCATAATTATCTAGAATGGAAGCAAAAAAATAAGTAAATCGTAATGATTAGAACACTGTAAACAGATATATAAACAATGCAAACTGATTTTAAATTGTATAACGGTCACCGGCCCACGGCATCAACGCAGAAAATTGGAGCAAAACAATATTTCCTGATCAATTGCGATGTGTTCCAAATAAAAAATATTTTAATTATTCCAGTCCAAATCAGTTCAATTACTTTAATAAAGAGTTATTGTATAATGTACAAAATGTTGATACAATTTGATGAATATTTACAGCTACGGCTTCAATACCGTAGACGATTTTGGCCTGATCGTCAACAAAACATCACCTGTCTCCAGGGCAAGCGACTGGGAAAAGACCCAGTGTTCGGTCGAACCGGTGGAAATAAAATCGTCACTCCCAGAGTAACTACGCAAAATAACGATCTAAACTCGAACCATTCGAGCCACAATATAAACAAATGACTTTCGTTGCATTTGACAATGATAAACTTACCAAAAAGCTGTGTTTTTCTCGGTCGCTAACGTCGGTATAATCCGCCATTTTATTTGAGTGTGTTTGCCACTTGACTCTGCCCGGTGACGTCATCATGTGCGCTATAGAAGGAGGTCTGTGATTCGTTGACTAAAATCGGCGATAGTGGGTCTCGTTGAAATCTCGTTACATAGGCATCAGGTCAGATGTATGTGGGGCAGAATTAAAAAAAATCACAAAATCAAAATCAAAGTTAAATAATAAAATAAAAAGGCATTAATAACAAAAGTAATAAAAAATAAAATTAAATAAGTTTATAGCCAAAATAATTAAAGCCCGTACATTACATCAGATTTTAATCAGATTGGGTAAGCCCATAATCCAGAGATTAATGACAGTTTAAGTTAAGAGTAGAAAATAAAAAAAAATGAAAGTTTGAGTGAAATCTTTTTACCTATTTCTGGATCAGCTGATTTTTAGCTCAGCTGTTGACTTTGTCAAGTGGAGCTTATCATATGAGTGATTGTCAGTCATCATCCATCGGCGTTCACATCAACTTTTATTTTTGCGACTTCTTCTTTAATTAAAACTACATGTCTGATTGCCTTGATGTTTGACATAGACCTCGCTTAGATTTTTGTCATTTTTGGTAAAAAGTGATATTTAAGACTACTTATTGATGACAGCAAGTTTGTTTACTTTGATATTACACAAATATACCGATATTATGCCATCATGTATCATCCATATTACAGAGTTGTTTTTAGCTCCATTGTCAGTAAAGTTTAACAGAAGTATTCATATTACTGATCATCCGTTAGTGTTGTTAAAAATGTCACCATTTATGGCTTTAATAATTTCCAGGACAGAGCCTTAGATGGATTTCCCTCAAATTTGTTTATTTGATAATAACTACATATTTTAGTCTTTTCGGGGGGAAAAAATTATCAAAAGCTTAATTTTCAATTTGTTCTAATCCATTGCTTTGATATTGTATCTTCTTGCACATTTGTTCAATACATTTAGTAATGCTATTTTCCATATGTGGATCCAATTGCTTTGAAAATGTATGCATGGCAAACAGTTAAAGCAGAGGTGTCGTCACCTGCGCATGCGTTGGGATTGAGTTCCAATCGATGATAACAACACACACTAAAACTGCAAAGGCTTATAGATAGGCACTTGTTTGTAAACATAGGCATGCTATGGCCATTTGCCGCATTTGCAGCCGACAACTTCCCCTCCCTTTTTTTTAGCTATATCGGTCAACTGGATACTTGTCTTAAAATAAAAAGTTTTTGTTCACTTACAGACAATGGCCTTGGATTCTATTATAGTTTTCCAAGTAATGACACCGGACAAAAGGATTGTGATGTTGCACACACTCTCATGTATTTTGTTTGTGGTGAGAATCCATGGTTTCCAACTGCTGGTGAACCATCTGAAATACCAGGAGAACCTGAAGTAACGTTTTTAAGCAGCTGCGTGGTAAGCATCAAATACATTTGTTCTGCGCTACAACATATCAAGATTTTGAAGAAGGAAAAAAATCAAAGAAAGCTTAGAAAGAACTCCCATGTGCTGAGAGTATTGGAGACACATTAAATATAATTCGAAATTACTTAGCTGAAAACTAATTATGCAAATCAGAAAATTAATATGACCAGATTTGAGTGTAAAACTAATGAGGTCTGCGCAATGTAACAGAAAATCTATGTCTCCAAGTTTAATTGAAATGTGATTAGAACCAAAAAATTATGAATTATTATGCTTATTAGGGAATTAATATGAACAGATTTTTACCCCAAACTAATTAGGTTTGTACATTGTCCTAGAGCAACTTTGTACTAAGTTTCATTGAAATGGAATAATTACTACCGTGAAAACTCCAAAAATTCGACCCCTCTAAAAATTCGACCGCCTGTTTATTTGCCGGGTTTCGGTGTTTTATTTACCTCCAAATTTTCGACTCCACTAAAAATTGCCGACTCATTCTTATTCGAAAATTGCGACCAGTTTTAGTTTTCCCCCAAACGAAAAGAAAAACGATGTGAGCGTTCAAACGGGACCTTCCTCGAAGGCAAGAATCCGGGTTTCTGATTGACTGAGAGATTTTTATTTTATTGGTAACGAAAATATGGCCTTGTTAATTTTTAACATGTTTTAAATTCAGTGTGATAATCCGGCCTGCCCAGTTTTAAAGGTCAATTGTAGGCGGGGCCATGGTGAT